GAACCTTGGCTTCCTCCTTCCTGTTCACTTCAGCTGCCTGGCTGCCGGCCACCATCTTGGTTGGCAGTTAATTTGCATATCGCCCTGATTAGCCAATGGGAAGCATGTTGGAGGTACAGTTAATTACTATGTTTGTCTATTATTAGATAGGATTATAAATAAATATTACATACTTATATGAATATCATTTCATTTATTATCTAAAAATTGTTGTAATTGCCTCATTGCATTGTATTATATAATACAACTGTATAATATAAACCATACTTTTTAAAAAATCAAACACTGTTGCAACTCCAGCTCGGCTGGCTGGCCGAAAGCATGGAATTTGTTTAGCTTCTATAATTGCAAACATTGTTTGGAGTGCAGCTCAGAGGCCGGCAGCGGCAGGTGGGGAACCTTGGCTTCCTCCTTCCTGTTCACTTCAGCTGCCTGGCTGCCGGCCGCCATCTTGGTTGGGCGTTAATTTGCATATCGCCCTGATTAGCCAATGGGAAGCATCTTGGAGGTACAGTTAATTACTATGGTTGTCTATTATTAGATAGGATTATAAATAAATATTACATACTTATATGAATATCATTTCATTTATTATCTAAAAATTGTTGTAATTGCCTCATTGCATTGTATTATATAATACAACTGTATAATATAAACCATACATTTTAAAAAATCTTTTATTGATCTTTAGAGAGAGAAGAAGGGAGAGGGAGAGAAAGAGAAACATCAATATGAGAGTGAAACATCAATCTGTTTGCCTGCATGTGCCCTGACTGGGGACTGAACCCACAACCTGGGTATGTGCCCTGGCCAGAATCAAACCTGTGATCTTTCGGGACAACGCTCCAACCAAATGAGCCACACCAATCAGGGCAAACCATAATATTTTTAATTGATCCCCTATTATTGATTATTCATTGCTTCTGACTTTTTGCTACTTTTTTAAACAGTACTTTGATAGCCTAATTTTATCAATGACCTCTAATTATTTCCTAGAATGCATTCCCACAACCTGTTGCTAAGTCAACAGACACTAGTATGTTTCTTAGGGTGCCTATTGGGCCCTCAGAAGGTATCATCTTACCCTGCTGGTGAGTATTTAACTTTGGAGTTATTTCTCTCATACTAGGGCCAACATTTCTCCAATGCTGTTTCTGCAATTGGCAACTTTTGCTTAAGTTGGGTTTTGTTATTTGGCAGTGGTCTCCTCATGCTTTTGTTAGAAGTGGTTGATGTGCATTCACCCATAGCCCACATGGTGTCTTCCCTTGATATCATGACTGCATGGCCATATCCAACTAGGTACGGGAAGTTTAAAAATCCAGGTCATGTGCAACATCTTAATGTTGACCTAGAAGTAGAACTAACTATTTTTCTGGATCCAGTTCTGCTACCAACTACAAGCATCTGGACCTTTGTAAATAAATACACACTAGAGTAGGAAAAATACAATGCTGTAACGCACCGCACTGTGTATAAAGCCTGGGACAATGGGCACATGATACAGTGTGCAGATAATGTTTTACTGAGTTGTACACTTGAAACCTGTGTGGTTTTGCAAACCAATGTCACCCCAATAAATTCAACTTAAAGAAAGAAAGAAAAATGAAAATAAATGCCTTGCTAAAATAAAAAATGAGAGAGGCACCTAAAACACTATAGGGGAATGCTAAAATGCCTTTAAAGGCACATGGCAGAATGTCTTGATCTATGAAAACTCTGTACAAGAGGTTTA